CAAAAGCCTTGCTAGAATGAGATAAATAGCTCCCACTATCCAAGCCACTCATCTCGTGTAAGGCTGTTAAGTTGGTTGGTCAGACATGATCTCCCCTTCACAAATCCAGGCTGACTACTCCCAGTCACCTTTTTGTCCTTCATATGTTTGTAAATGGTTTTGAGGAGGATTTACTCAAGTCTCAAGGCAGTTGCAAATGTAATGTAGACTTCATTTTATAAAGGTAGAAAAACACAGGTGAAAACAAATGGAGGGGCTAGGGGGAGAGGCTTGAGAAGTACCAGCTTTTCAATGAGCTCTGTAGCTAGCCCAGCTCTGGTACGGCCGACTGGCAGCAAGCAGCTGGTGTTGGCAGGGGCAGAAGTGTTCAGGCATGAGAGCTTTCCCCCCTGGTTGAGGATTCCCAGCATTGTAAAGTCACTGGGATCTCCTGTAGGATGAACTCCGGAGATGAGTCCTGAAGCTTTATATTGAAATGATATTATCTATGTGGATTTTGCTAGCACAAAAAGAGGTTGAGCTAAATTGCTTCTAAGTATAGGGCTCTGTTGAGTTCTTCTATAGTTAGCCCTGTTAAGCAAGGAATAGCACCTTCGTTACACCAAGCTTACTGTGACTCTGAAGAAAAGATTTAGCCTTTATTTTAGTATGTTTATTAGTACCAAAATGTTGAAATCTGAGCTTTTAGCAGTAATTCACTATAATCCTGAAGCCTTTAAAATTTAAAGGAAATCTATGGTGCGGTTTCTTTGGTAGAAATAGAATAAAAATCTTATGCAGTTGGAAAATTACAGCCTGTGTAGGCGTTGAAATGCCTCCTGCTTCACATTCTTAATTGGCAGCAAGCCAGACACTAAGCATTTCTGCTTTAAAGGGAAACACTCCCCTTTTCTTTAAATTTCTGATGGACAAGGGTTGCATTTTGGTTGCATTTTTTCTTCCCTTTTGGTATAACATGAATAAAATTTTCAGTTAAATAGCATCTGCAGTTACCTTGACCTTTTGCATTATTGCTGGATAATACAAAGATATGCATTTTTCCTTGCAAATTGTATAGTAAGAAGTTGTGGCCTCATCTACTCTGGGATCTCTAGATTTCTCTGTTCTGTTTTAAAACTTTGTTGGAATTAGTATGTGATACTCAGAGAAATCTGCCATAAATATCAAAGGCTTTAATACTCGTGACTTTATATTAGATAATAAAATGGTTTTGAATAATGAAGAAATATTGCAAACTGTAAATAGATCAGATATTTATCACTTACTTAAGTCCATTTTCAGTAGTTGAGAGATTACTGTCCTTTACTGAGTTTAGATTTTACTTGGAGATACATACTGTGAGAGAGCTTACACATGTTTAACAAATAATACTGCAGGGATGCCAATATTAAAGTTAGTCTGAAAATCTTTACTCTCATCCATTCTTGCTGGTTTTGAATAGCATTAAAAAGGGCTTTGGTGTAGTTTTCCCTGTCAAAACTTGTCAACATTCTTGTGTTTACAGACAACAGTGAAAAATACAGAGTGGTGTATATGGTAACTAGCCAAAAAGTTGGTTTGCAATACTTTTTAAGAAAATCACATCAACTTAATTTTACATCAGTAACAGTCTTAAGAGAGGATTTAAAAACTACAGAAATACTGACACATTTTTCGCAGTTGGAATACACGGATTTTTATTTTTTTTTAAATACAGTATTGAATCATAGAATCGCAGAATGGTTTGCATTGGAAGGGACCTTTAAAGCCCATCTAGTTCCAACCCCCCTGCCATGGGCAGGGACACCTTCCACTAGACCAGGTTGCTCAAAGCCTCATCCAGCCTGGCCTTGAACACTTCCAGGGATGGGACATCCACAACATCTCTGGATTAGTATTAGTAATTTCTGGATTAACATCTCTGGATTGGATTAGTAATTTCCTGTATTCCTAAAGTGACATAGTTACCAAGAAAAAAATATAAAACATTTTAAAAATACAGGAAATTATAATTGTTTTTATGTTCTCTCAAGCCTTTTCTTCTTGACCTTAAAATTACGTTTCTTAAATTTGCCCTGTTTTCAGTTTGTTAAATTTTGTTTATAAATATTTTTGTTATTACGCTCTGACTTTGTGAATTTCAGTGGTGTGTTGTTTTTTTAAATCTGCGTTGACCTCCACACTGGCTGTGGTTTCTGTTCACTCTTTATTACTGTAAATGTAGAGTCACAATGAAGGGTGAAGTGTCTGTTCTGAAATGATTCCCAAATTTTATCATAGAATCACAGAATGGTTTGGGTTGGAAGGGACCTTAAAGATCATCTAGTTCCAACCCCCCTGCCATGGGCAGGGACACCTTGCACTAGACCAGGTTGCTCAAAGCCACATCCAGCCTGGCCTTGAACACTTCCAGGGATGGGGCATCCACAACATCTCTGGGCAACCTGTTCCAGTGCCTCACCACCCTCTCTGTGAAGAATTTCTTCCTGATATCTAATCTAAACCTCCCTGATTTCAATTTATACCCATTACCAATACCCCATACCCAAATTTTGCGCAGTGGGTCAGGATGTTGGAGCCCTGCTGGCAGCAATGTGTGATAACCTCAGTGCAATGCTCACAGCTTTCTGCTCACTTGTTACTTAGAAGGTGTATATGGTCCATAAAAAAGAAAAAAGTCAAAAATACTCTTTCCTGGTGTGTAGCACCCATTTAGAACAGTTATTGCCACGATTAAGTTTGTGATGGATCCCTCTTGATTGCTCCGTAACTCAGGGAAGTAGGAATGTTTTATTTTGTCCTAGATTAGTTATATTAGTAACTATATTAGGTGCTATAATCACAAAAGCATTTCTAAAGATACTAATGTATTACTAAGTGAGAAATCAATGGGACCACTTGCAGTGGTGGAGTTACGCACAGACATGAATGTCTGTAGGACTAAGGCTTGTAATGTGTTTCTGTGGGCAGGAGCCACCATTTAATTACAACACAAGTACGTGCAGGGGAGCTAGTCTCTGTGTCTGCCTTGACAGGCGATAAACAGACACTCTCACTGTCCATCGCATCTACTTAGGGCAAGATAAATTGCTCTTTATTGAGTCCTATTTCTCTCCATAGATTTTAAAGGGAAAATATCTTAGAGGCAGAGACACACAATCTAACCATCATACATGCTTTAGACACATGCTTTCAAATTGCAGCCACTTTGTGTTATTCTGTACAAAAAAAGACACATCTGCCATAGCAAAATTTACTCTTTCTGGAATGGGAAGGTTTTGTTGGGCCAGAGGTTTGCCCATGTTGAGACCCTTATACAGAGTGATGGTTTGTAGTTGGTGAGTTAGATAATTACACCCCTCTGCAGAATGGAAACCTAACAGAGAAGTGGACTGGGTGGGTGTGTGACTCTCCGCCTTGCAATAAGATTGCAATTCCGCAATTCCTGCCTTCCAGCCTGTACTTAATCTTCCAGAATGTACTGCTTTCTAACATAGAAAATTATCTTTGTGAGGATACTGAAGAATACTTTCTTTCAAAAATACACTAAAATTGAAGTTTACTAAACACGATTAAGTTAATGTTGATGATACCTAATTGCTATTTAAATATTTTCACTGGGAAATTATAGAATGCAAAGAAAAAATATCTTTACAGTAGGATGTTACAATATTTCTGTTGGGGTATTTTAGTCTCTGATAATTTTTAACCAAAGCTTTCTCTTTTGCTTTTTGCGTATTATACAAGCATAACCTCATTTTAAAAAGCACATATGTATGCATTTAATGAAATAGATCTAAATTGGCCTGCTTGACTGTACCTAAAAATTCATTTGATCTTCTGAAAGACATGAATGTTGAGGATGATGTGGAGCATTAATGGAATGTGTGAAGACCTTTCCAGCTGTAAATCTTGCAGGAGGGTTTTGCATCTTAACTGTGAATTCCCTAATATACTTCAGAGGCAGAACAAAACTGGAATGGTTGTGCAAATCTACTGTCCTGTGACCAATTTATGTACCCAGTCCCCTTCCTGAGCTCATATGTTTCACTTGGAATTATGCCAGGATAAGGAGTGGTATATGGAAATACTTAAAAGTAGTTTTACTACAAATTCCTTTTAAAATTATGTGTATAATCATATTGTACATTTAATTGTAATGTCACACTAAGAAAAAAGTGCTTGCATGTGTAGGGTTGAGCTTTGCGTGCTTACTTAAAAATGAGCTGCTTAGCTGTTGGAACAAATCTGAATTTGTTTAGAAAAATGGATTTTATGCATTTAAACAGGAAAAAGGATGTGTTGATGTTTAGTTTTATATTTATTTTGGCATCCAGACCTTTTCTCTTTCTGATTCCGTTCTAGAATTTTATTCACTTGGGTAGTTTTTGTTTTCATTTCATGCCTTTTCCTCATTACTGCTTACCCGTTCCCTCCCATCCTGCTTTTTTGGTTCCTTTTTTCAATTACGGGATAGCATTGGGAGAGACAGGATGAGGGGGAATGTACAAGATCTGTAATCTAACCAAGTTTTTGCATCCTTCTTTAGTCATGTTTGTCATTGTGTATCTGCTTATATATCTGAATTTTTCTCAACAAAAAGGAAAAAAATGATAGATTTCTGATAAAATGTTGTATGTTGAGTATAGTTTTCATTTGTATCTTCTATTCGTCCCCTTGCTATGCTTTATCACTTGTGTTGTTATAATATAAAAGCTTCCCCAAAACACTGCCATGATCATCCAGTTTGAAAAGATCTTCTTAAACATTATGTATTTTTTTCCAAAACTACACTAAAAATTAAAAAATTCCATATTAGAAATTATACATAAGGGCTTTTATGGTTGATATTGTGTTAATACTGTTTTCTTCTACATATTATATATAAAAGTAATGCCTCCCTTGACTTATTTCATTAATAACCATGGTAGTTTGGGTTTGTTGTTTGTTTTTTAAATGAAAGCTGTGAGCTTGTAACCACTGTAGAGAGTAATGTATTGTATGTATATATTTTTTGTAAGTTCTGGCCAGGATATCCAAGGAACAAGTGTGGTGGCAAATCTTCCAGTTCTGATGCGACAGAATCCTGCAGAAACACTTCGTCGGGTTTTACCAAAAATCAGAGTAAGTTGTGTGTAATGTGGTTTGATTGTATCTTTTTCTGCCAGTGTAAATATTTTAATAAAGGTAAAAAAAAAAAAAAAAATCCCACTTATATTGCAAACTCAGTTCCTGGGAAAGGTATGTCCAGTAGATCTTTCCTATTAATTCACTGAATTTACAGTGTATTGCAGGTATTATACTTTTCAAAAAATTTTACAACAGGAAAAGAAATGAGAATTAATACTATTTACATATTTTAAAGATCTACCAGTGTTTTGACAGCTTTTTGAGAACTGTTTTTGAGGATCAGCCAGTCATAATGGTTCATTTTGGTATTCTTATTCTCCTTCAATCCAAACATTGATTTTCATGCTGCTGTCCAGAAAAGTATACTTTGCTTTTATCTGTCCGAAGTTGCATGCGCTGCCCTCTGCATTTTTAGTAAGTCACTGCTAGCTATGGTAGATGTATGCTGTCGGTGTAACATTACACAGTAATCTATATATAGAAATGTTTGTATCAAGGTTAGTTGGGTTGTTTAACCTGGAGAGCAGAAGGCTTCAGGGAGACCTTACTGCAGCCATTCAACACTTGAAGGAGGCTTACAAGAAAGATGGGGACAGACGTTTTAGCAGAGCCTGTTGTGATAGGACAAGGGGGCAATGATTTTAAACTTAGGGAGGGTAGATTCAGACTAGTTGTAGGGAAGAAATTTTTTATGATGAGGGTGGTGAGGCACTGGAACAGGTTGCCCAGTGAGGTGGTAGATGCCCCATCCCTGGAAATGTTCAAGGCCAAGTTGGATGAGGCTTTGAGCAACCTGGGCTGATGTCCTTGCTCCTGGCAGGGGGGTTGGAACTGGATGATCTTTAAGGTCCCTTCCAACCCAAACCATTCTGTGTTTCTATGATTTTAAGGATGGTAAATATCTCTGTATTTCCATTCTGCCCCAGCTATCATCCCTTGCCTAGAAGAAATGAAAAAGTTTATTTAAGATACAAATTAATGAGCAGCTTCAGCCAAATAAGAACAAACTGCATCACAAATGCAAATGCAAAGCCTAATAACTAAATACAGCTAAATAGCTCTACCTCTAATAACTCTATATCGGGCTACAGCAGGTGTTAAGACTTTGATTGTGTTAGCTTGCCTGTTAGAGTGGTTTTCAGTGATTTTTTAGAGGCTTCCAGATGAATGGAAAAACACATTGGTGTTGGCTGTCAGAATATCGGAAGGTTTATTTTGGTAACAGCAAATTTCTAAAGGTGGGTTTTTTCATTGGATTAGTGTATTGTCAGTCTTCTACTGATACCATTGACAGTTTTTATGTGATTAAATCAATGTTTTGATTTAGAACTGTCTCTGGCCTGGTCTCATGTAATTGATCACTTTGATATAAGCCCAGTTCTCATTTATACAAATTGTCAGCTAAAGGAACATTGTGCTTGTTAGTAGCAGTTTGGCTGTAGTGGCTGTTCGGATGTATATGCTCTCTGTGGGACGAGAGGTAAAAATCACAAGGGTTTCTCGTAGAAATTTTATTTTCAAAGCATTGAGTTGTGTTTGTAATTTTATGGACAGACTCAGTTTCCCTATATGTTTTTAGGGATATATTTGACATTTTCAGTAGTGTGATTCAGTCATGATTTTACCAGGACACTTTGTAGAATTTAATTTTTTTTCTCCCCATATAATTTGATATTCTTTCTTTTTAACAGTTTGCCAAAAGGAATGTTATTTTCTTGTGGCAGACAACTAATGCTTAAGAAGAGTATTGGATCACTTCAGAAAGATGGAAATAATTTAACTAGTTACTGACTCAAGCTAAATATGAATTTGATGATCTGAAAGACATTGAACTGAAAGTTTAAGTTATATTAAGAATCTCCTCAGCTCTTTGTCCTCTGTATCTCAGACACTTTAGGGATGAGAAGCAAAAATCTTCTGCGGTAGCTACTGTGAGTTTTCTTGTTACATCTGTATCACATTCTCGTTGCCAGGTGTAAGAAAGTATATAATTATATTAGAAACAAAGGTGAGATGTCTGAGTCACATGCTTATGTTATACAGTTTTCTCTCTGCTGAGGAGATAATTACTGAATAGTGAAGTGGTCCCATGCAAAGTGATACTCGTTTGTTCCCGTCAATTTTCATTTATATTTCATTGTTCCTTTGCTGAAGTTTTTTATTGAAAAGCTGCATGGATATGTATCTCTCAGCCTTTTGGTTGGAGTTTTTGTTGGTGGTGGTGGTGGTTGGTTGGGTTTTTTTACTTTTAAGGCAGCTACCTTGACATTACATTAATTAAAGAATTACAGAAAAAAATACCATATTATGAAAAATTACTTGGTGTATTTCTTGTTGCCTGTGGAATTGGTCTTAAACTGAATCTCCGTCTCCTTATCTTAAGAAAAGAGGCTGCTCAAGAGACAATTCAGTATTTGTGAAAAAATAATTTAATGAGTTATATTCTGCTCATCTGTTATGAATTAATTGACAGAAAGATGAGGAACAAATATGTATGTAGTCCTCAACATGATTATTTAGCAAATATTATTCCGTAGGCTATTTAAATACAAGCCCTACTGCAGAGGAGACTTAGATTTCATGTGCTAGATGTACTCAGTGATATTCCATGCGCTGATAATGCTGGGGGCCACCCAGCTGGAAAGCAGCTTTGTAGAAAAGGACCTGGGGGTCCTGGTGGATACGAAGCTGAACAGGAGGCAGCAGTGAGGAGTTGGAGGAAGGTGAACCTTCCCCTCCACCCTCTACTCTGCCTTATGCTCTTCTATACCTGGGGCACTGTGTTCAGTTCTGGGCTCCTCAGTATAAGAGAGACATGGACGTACTGGAGAGGGTACAGTGAAGGGCCATGAAGAGAATTAAGGGACTGGAGAATCTCTCCTGTGAGGAAAGGCTGAGACTCTTCATCCTGCAGAAGAGAAAGCTTGGAGGGGATCTTACCAACGTATATAAATACCCAACAGGAAGATGCAAAGAGGACAGGCTCTTTTCAGTGGCACCCAGTGACAGGGCAAGAGGCAGTGGGCACAAACTGAAACACAGGAGGTTCCTTCTGAACATCAGGAAACACTTTTTCACTGTGAGGGTGACTGACTGCTGGCACATGTTGCCCAGGGAGGTTGTGGTCTCCCTCCTTGGAGGTATTTGGAAGCCATGTGGACATGCTCTGGCTCTAGGTGTTCTGTTGGAGCAGGGGGGTGGACAAAATGACCTCCAGAGGACCCTTCCAGCCCCAACCATTTTGTGAAGATCAGACATCACCTTTCAGCTTCATATTAGCGCCTGAAAGTTCCACGGTTCCAGAAGACTCCTATTTCATAAGAGGAGCTGTTGCAATTTTTGTCTGATTATTGAAATTCCGCAAATGACCAAGAAATAGCTGTCCCTGGAACTGAGGACTAGTATGGGCAGACACATTGTTTAGAAAACATTATACTTGCACTTCTGGTGTTCTTCGCACGACGCAGGTCAGTGGGCATTTTGGTTAAACATATATGTGTATTAAAAAAATGCTCTAAGAAAAAGAATTACTTGAAGTTGCAAAGTAACTGAAAACTCTTTTACTTACACCAAGTTTCAGCAGTTCACCACCACATGTTATTCTGACATTCATAATGCATTCTTTCCTAAACCAACCTACCAACTTAAAGAAAAGTTTATTTACTTCCTGTTTAACATAGTGAATCTGGTTTTGTCTCTGGTGTTTCTGCTTTGGGAGCAGAGTTCTTCCTGAAATAAAGGAGTAAAAAGAAATGTTAGGGTTTTTTTACCCTTACTTGTCAGGGTGTGGTGAAGTGGTAGTATTTGCCTCTCCGTCTTTAATAAAAAGTTTAATATGAGAATATAGTTTTTGATTCTAGTTTTAGAATTTTTATGTAGAGGTGGAGTAAAAATTTAAAAGGATAATCATTAGCTTGATCAGGCCTAGGGCCTGAAAAATATTTGTTCAAGCTCAGTGTGTTTAGATCTGCTGGTACTTAATTACTTTGTTAAAGTATCTTCCTGTATGATTTTAAAGGGTAGTTCAACTGTAAACAGTATATGAAAAAGAAGAGTTAAGAATTAAAGACACAGATATTAGAAATGAAGCAGATAATTTCAATAATAAATCCAATGAATCTTTGAGCAAATAATTGAGAAAAATGGTGCAGTTTTATCTTGCAGTGTCTAAATCCAAACTGAATGCCTTCCTAGATGATAAACTGAATGAAACTTAAGTTAATGGGCTCAAGGCAGAAGTAAAAGAGTGAACTATAATGAGGTCAGTCCAAATCTGTGTGTTCCTTTCAGGTTTAAGCTTTATAAATTAAAACTTTTTGGAATGTATGTGAGTTAATTTTTTTCTGTGACTATACTCTTACAAAGCAGATTCTTCAATGTTACCCAATATTTAAATCAGTACTGGAAGAACAGTTCTGTTGTACTCATGTTCACTCCACTTTTAACTAACAGCCAGTATTTGGCATCTTTAACCACTTGACCTATTTTTTTTCTCCTTGTTTTTATTGGGGGAATAGTCCTGACCATTAAATGGCAACTGTTACTGTCTATAAAGGCGTAATCTAACTCAGCTGCGCTTGGTCTTGCAAATGTAGTTTGGCATTGCAGGGAAATAAGCTGATTTAAATTACTGCACGTGGTTTCACTTTTGTAGATTGGGAAAAATCATTTGTGAATTCATATTCACATGAAAAATGACTTGTATAGTGGTTTCAGTGTGCAAATTGTTGTCACCATATAAATGGGTAAGGAAACCAGTGCATACTTCTGCATACTTGCAGAAATGCAAAAGCAAAAATATATACTGTTTTTATTAGAGTTGAGGATAAAACAGATACAGGAATAAAGAAATGGAAGGAATGTTCTGGCTGGATAAATTACAAATTTTTATTTCACTTATGAGAAATTTTATAAACCTGGTTACTTTCATAAATAATTACAGAAATAGATATATGCAAATTGTTTATAAAATTATATCAAAGAACTTTATATAT